CTATGATAGACTGTAGTCTGTCTTTTTTAAAACAACAAAATATATATATATATATATATATATATATATATACACACACACACACACACACACACACACACACAATCAAATAAGTCTGAGCTTTTAGTCTGCCTAAAAATTGATCTACTTAGTAGCAGTGGACAATTGCTCAACCCGTCCCCATACCAATTAAAAACAGAATAAATAATTGAATCCCAAGTTTCTCCACAATTTACATAACAGAAAGTGATTTTTGCTAAATTCCCCCTCCTCTACCTTTCTTTCAATATCTTGTCCCAATTTTGTGGCTCATAATTTTGTTTTAGGAATTATACAGTGGGTTAAGAAGTCAAGCTATTTTAGAAGGCAGAGGTCACAGGAACACAATAAATATTCCTGTAGCTGGGCCTCCAATTAGCTGGGCCTCCAATCAGCACTTTTTTACTTCCAGACAAACACTGTACCTTTGATTTTGGACTTTTATTTGGGTATATTTAATTCTGGAAGTGATCTTAGTGGCTCAGACTAATCAGAAACACTAATATCCCTGAATCTGCAGCTTTCAGAATATTTTCCTGGATGGTGAATTTTGAGGTGAGTAAAAGGGATCAGTTTCTGTTGAACTATGGAAATATTAGGGCAGTAACAGTGTATTAAACTGAGGTTATATTTAATTCTGGGCTAATAACTAGATTTTCTTTTCTTTTTTTACAAAATATGAAATATGCAACAGAAATAACCATTTAACCATTATTCTTTGAATAAGTCTGCAAAAGATATTTTCAAGACTTTATGAAAAAATCCATAATCCAAATCTACTTGCCTTTTTCTATTAAAACCAATCCATAAATCCACACAAGGCTTAAGTGTAGTACTTGCTAACTATAAAAAAAAGTCTGACTTATTTGGAACTGGTAAGTAATCTGGTTTTATATATGTGGGGTATAATCAAATGCATGTTTCCTCCCAACTCAGTCATGTAATAGTAGTACTTGTTCCCTAGCAATCATGCTCCAATGCTGAATTTCAGCCGTAGTTCTAATGGATATAAATTAGTAGCATTATTTAATGATTTTAGCCCTGGGTTTTTCTAAATTAGTGAAAGTGTATATTACTAAATTGGGAATAACAGATGTAAATGATTAAAAATGTGGTCACACACTTGCCTTTCAAAGCGCTCTGTGCCCAACTGTCTTTTGGTGATATCTAACTCAGATTCCAGTTGAGTTATTGTATTTTTGAGTTGTGAAAAATCTCGACTCTGGATAGCGCTATAAAGGACAAAGTTGTCACTTAAACTGAAAGGATGTAACTAGTCAAATATAATAAAATAAAGAATAGGATTAGTTTTTCAAGAGCAGCTTCCAATACACTTGATATAAAAAGAAATTGGATAAGCATCCAGAAAGAAAACAGAAACAATCATATGATATTCCTGTTGTGTCAAAAGGCATTAAATACCTGTACTGCTAAAATTTCCTAACTTTACTGAACAAAGTTTTCATAGCAATGTACAAATAGTTTTTAAAGTTCTGGTATGTACTTTATTCCCATGAGATACATACTTTTTTGCCTAATATTTAGCTTATCTGGTTTCAAATAACTTTTAAATTAACTATCTTCCACTCTAATAAATGTTCTCTTAAAAAGGATAAAAATGGGGAGATTAACAAAAAGTAAACAGCAATTTTAATTGTGATAATCAAGTGTTTCTGCCAGTTACTCACATTTTGTTTTCAGCCAGAGAAAGTTGTTCTTTAAGAAGTTGTATTTCAGAATCCTTCTCTTGACTTATCATCTGAGACTGATACTCTTTTTCTCGATTGGATACTAACAAAGTTTCCAAGTTTTTAATTGAGATTCTTTCATTATTGAGTTGTTTTCTGAGAAGTTCTATTTCTGAGTGAGATGATTCCCATTCATTCTGAAGCTGAAAGCCAGAATAATAAATTTTCTCATTTTCTTTAATATGTGCTATATTAGAAACTGTTGGATTACATATCAAACTAAACAAATCATTGGGTTCTTTGTATTCTTTGAGCTTGTTTTCCTGCAGATATTTCATTACCAATCAAATAACATTGCTGATGCATGGAAGAGTGGAGTTTGCTGGTGATTCATATATAGTAGCTTGCCCTGCCAGTCTTGGTTTGGGTGTGGGTTCCTTTCCAACTATTGTAAACAAACCATATTTTAAACTAACCATCACAAACCATGACATGTGAACCTAATGATATAGGGTTCTTCCAAAGTTAAGCCTTTTAAACTTTTGAGTTAAGCCTTTTGTAGGACTATACTATTGTAGGACATGATCTGAAGTTCTATAGAGTTCTAGTTTATACCCACAAAAGATTGTGTGAGCAGACTATAACCTGTAATATCCTCTTATATGCTGGACAATACTCTGGTCCTTAGAGAGGAACTTTATACTGTAAGACATTCCATCCCATACAAAATATATCAGAATCTATTATTTCCTGACCCCCTGAATATATTTAGTGTATTTAAATCAAAATAGATAACCTATGAACCACATGGAACTCCCACATCCATTTTTATAGCCCCTGGAACCCTCAGGTTTTCATTATCAAATCACACTAAAATGGATGTCAAAAATCAGGAGACTGGTAGTATTTTTTCAGACTAACAAAGGCATAAGCTTTCATGAATTACAGCTCATTTTGTCAGATCCCCAAAGTGACAGACAGGCCAGATTTTACACAAAAGAGTTAACGGGGACAGGTTTAACATTAGAATTGTATCATTCTCATGCTTGAAGTGCTCAGAGCTACTCCTTCTCCAAACCGTTTTACAATTGTGACCTAACTGGATTCAAAAAAATTTGCCTGCCCCTGACTTAATCTAAAATTCATTTGTCAGATATTTCTCTTTTTGAAATGAGCCAGTCATAATTTTTATTCAAATATTTTAAACAATCTATTTCAGGAGCTTTGAAAAACTAGTAAAGATATTTAGCACAAACATACAAAAATAAACAATGGTTAAAAAATTTCTAACCCATCAAAAATACCCCAAAAGAATGAATGATGAATTCATATGCACCAATCTCATGATGAATGACAATATTTGATTGTTTTAAAGAAAAAGATGAGTTTAGACTAGGTATCTCTCAAAAATCAGTTGCGGAATGAGGTATCATTAACAGGGTTCTCGAATTGGGACTTCAATCATGCAGTTGCACCTGCCATTTTGATTTTTTTGACCTACGTCCACAGAGACTCCTAGCCCTGCATATGTGCTAAATCCACATCCAGGATTCACACAGTTTCTCAAATAAGCACAGATTATACTTACTTCTTCTTAGCAGCTTTCTGTATATTCAGACCAAATACTGTACAATCCAGTCTTTGCTACAGAACAATTATGCCACCAGACTTCATGAAAAACACCAATATTTGGCAGTGTTTTCTTCTGACACCTTTGCTTTTTAAAAACTAAGCAAGCCTCCAAATAGAGGTTTTAGAACAAAAGAAGACATTGACCAAGTAGATGCATTCAGAAAGCTCACGAACATGGACAGAAGACTGACAGCTGTTTTCCAGTGTTGTTTTCTAGCACCTGATAAGATATGCTGCCTATGATTTAGGAAATAATAAGACTCTGCAAAGTTTCAGATTTGAAGACTAAAAGGTTCTTTGGAGTGTGCAAGGGTGAGAATGGAGTACCTGCGCACAACTCATAATATAGCTGTACATTTTCCTGGGATCACATGGCTGCGCTCTACTGAAGCCTTGGACCACAGGGCAAAAACACACACACACACACACACATCCCAATACACACATATAGTCAAAGAAATGGAAGCACACTTATTTGCCTTATTGTATATAAAATTAGGTATCTTGTTAATATAGAAAAGTGTGTTTCAATTTCTAAATAATTATTTCATTTTTTCATGTATAGTGTGAGAGTTGGTTCTCAGATTGATAAGAAGTGTAGTAGTTATCACAAAAGAGATAAGCCTCCACCCCTTTACCTAGAAAATATTTGAGAAAAAGCAGCCAAATCTTCCTGCCCCAATTTGCCTATATACAGGTTTCTCATTTGAAAGTATGTACTTTACAAAATTCTTGTGTTGTCACTTTAACCTTCTTAACAGATCTTACTAATCAGAGCTATGAGAAAATACTTCTTGTGATGGACAATTTCCAGTCCAGGTGGCTATAAGAAAAATCTAACATGCTATGAACAGCAAGAATTTAATTCAAGCATTAGGAAAATGTGTATGAGTTTTCAGCTTTAATGTTTGCTCTCTATAAACCAAGCCAAAATTATATTATACCTACTCGTTCTACTTCCTTTGTTGTGTTCTTTAGTTGCCGGATTAATAACTCTTTGCTAGTGTCCAGTTTAATGCACAATTCCCGAGTCGATGCCAAATCTGAGAGTACAGAAACCTTTTCCAGCTGGACTTTCTCAAGTTCCTCCTCCATTTTCATCAGAGACTTACCTAAAGTAGAAATCTGTGACTTACAGGCTTTTTCAGATGCTAAATGCTGCCCCCAAAAAAGAAAAGTCAATTAACATTTATATTATAATTAAATCAGCAGGAATATCTTCAAGAAAAATTAATTTTACTTAATAATAAACATGTTTATCTGAATAAATATCCTTACTTTTTATGTTAATTTTAAAATGTTCTATAATCAATAAAAAATAAAAGCAGAATCTAAACATAAATTACTGGACAATCAACAAAAACTAAATATGCCAAAATTTATTTTAATATGTTCTTTATATACACTCTTAAGAGATTTTATGGCACTGGCAGGCCAGTCCAGAATTCCATGTGAATTTCAATGCATATTAAAAGTATCATGTGGTATAAATTACTATTTTCAAACAGCCACGCTCTGCATGGGCAATAGTTTAAAGCACTTCATATCTATCTAGAAGAGTGAATTCAGGCTCAGTTGAAAGTCTATGGTTCATAATTAGCAGAGAGAAAAATAAATGTCTTTCCACTTCTACAGTCCAATCCCAAACTTTCTTTAGAAAGACCAGAATGTTTTGAAGCCAAGTGCAGGAAATGGTCGACATCTTTCCCTTAAAATAAACATCCATTTTGAAAGTACCTACTCCAACCTGAATCATAAGTTAATTCCTTTAACCCTTTACTCATGTGGGAGGTGAAGAATAAGGAAAAGTGTCACAATTTTTAAAAATCTAAGCAGCTGCTCTATTACTAGCCAGTGAATGAAAATTAGAGAGAGGGAGAGAAAGAGGGAGAGACAGGGAGAATAAGGGGAAGCTCTTAAAACCTACTTGTCCAATTGCTATTTCAAGTGATTCTGTTTGCTCTTTCAGTCTATGGTTCTCAGACTCTACACTGAGAAGTTCCACCTGGATGGAGTTATAATCTGTTTCCATTTGACGGAATTTTGATTCCCATCTGTCTGCCTCTTCACGGAACCTGTGGAAGTTTTCCAAAAGTTCCCCATTTTCTTTCTCCTAAAATTCAAATTTTGATGTTATTTTTGAGACTTATAGTTAGTTTACATATTTACCATCTAACATCCAGTTATTTACTATAACATCCAGTGGTGCATTTTTATGCTTGTAATTGTGTATAAAATCTTGGAGTCCTTTAACACCTCTTTTAGATTAAAGGTCATGGAAATTGACTGAGTGCATCACATATGCATTACAGAATATATAGCTTCATTATTTCACGCTATAAAGGTGGCTGATTAATAAAACCCTCAAATAACTATATCCATTCTCAACAGCAGTGCAGATATCTATTCAACAACTACAGATATCTAGAGATTTTCTGAAAGGGAGAGTTCTTTCATACAAAATGCTGCTGATTTTATTTATCTCACCATCCCAGAGTTCAAGGCGGTATATACAACATTTTCTCCTCCAAGTTTCTCCAGTACAAAGCAGGAAGAATAGGTTGGTCTAAGAGAGTGACTGACCCCAGATCATCCAATAATCTTCCATGGATGACAATGGAATTGAATCTGAGTCTCCTCAGTGCTAGTTCAATACTTTGACTCTATACCATACTAGCCTACCCTCTTTTCCAGTGCAATTTTCTTGCCCCATAGCCCACCCTGCTCAGAGAGGCGGGGGTGAGGGGAATCAATCCTTGGATAAGTAGCATTATGCTGTCATAATACTGGACCCAATTTATCATATGCAAATGTTGATCATGAAAATATACAGTATAAATGTACACATCTTAAGTAAACACACAATAACCAATTAGGATCAATTAAAGCATTAGGGGTCAACATTTTAAAAGTGTCAAAGCTAACCTCTGAGATTTTAATCAAAAAGTTGCTATCAAGAGAATATACAATGCATTCAGAAAGTATTCAGACCCCCTTCACTTTTTTCAATTTTGTTATGTTTCAGCCTGATAC